GGGGGGGGGGGGGCTAAGAGAAGAGATTTCTGATAGTACTAAAGAAAACAAATTAAATCCAAAGAATCTAACATCTGCCTTTCTCTACAAAATGAATCTCAGAATACAGAGTATCTTCATTAGATATTTATGCCAAGGCCAATAAAATCCCACAGTGTTTCTGACATATTAAAAAGCATCTTTTCTTACAGGAAAAAAACATCTGTCGCAAATAGTAAGGGCATTAATGCTAAGTGAGATAAGTCAGATAGAGAAAGGCCAATACCATATGTTTTCACTTATATGTGGAATCTAAAAAACAAAATTGAAACAGACCCATATATACAGAGAACAGACTGATGGGTGACACAGGGCTTGGGGGGAAAAGGTGAAGGGATTAAGAAGTATTAATTGGTAGTTACAGGATAGTCAAGGGGATGTAAAGTACAGCATGGGAAATATAGTCGGTAATATTGTAATAACTATGTATGGTGCCAGGGGGGTACTTGAAATATTGGGGGGATCACTTTGTAAAGCAAATGATTGTCTAACCTATGATGCATACTTGAAACTAATACAAAATAATATTGAATGTAAACTATAATTGAAAGATAAAATTTTTTGAAAATCTGTTCGGTTGTTTTAAGCAGTTTTACAATGCCCACCATAAAATGTTGGGGGTACCTTTGTCCTTTCTTACTAGCTAGCTCCCAGTGGAGCTTGTTTTAGATGAATATGGGAGGAAGTAGGGTTGAAAGCATGGATGATGAATTCATACATTGCCATTCACTAGGTATGTAGAGATTGCTTTTTATTTTATCTTTCTAATGACAGCACAAGTCAAATTCAACAAATTCTTACTGAGTGCCTGGAAAGTGCACCACACTCTGCTAGGCACTGTGAGAAATACAAAGATGGATAAGAGATGATGTGTACCCCATTTCTCACTGTTTAGCAGAGAGATGCTGTGTACACGATACTATGAGAAAGCTGACCATGCCAGGTCTTATATTGGGAGTATCTATTAAGAACTGGGGCTGAGTAGAGAAATTGCTTAGAGCAGGAATCTGTGCTTAACTGTCTTTACTAAATAGGGAACTCCTCATAATCTAGACTGTGTTTCACACTCTATTCCCAATCTCCTTAGGACTCCATTCTTGCCTCATGTAGAGTAAGCACTTGATTAAAACACTTCTTAAAGTTTTGTTTGTGAGGTACTAACTTTGATGGTTGTGATGAAAAATTGATAGGCATTAAGACTTTATTTAGGAAATTATTTTATTAAACATTGTTATACATTCTTCCTCTGATAAGTAGGAAGAAAGGGGTACAGATTTCAAGAGTTTGGTCAATATGTAAATTGAATCAAAGATAATTATTTTCCTGGCTCTACTTGATCAGGAGAAGAAAAGGGGTTGCAAATTTTTCTATAATGGCCAGAGAGTAAGTAACTTTGCAGGCCACACATTCTCTGTCACGACTATTCAACTCTGCCAAGTAGAGCATGAAAGCAGTCATAGACAAAAGTAAATAAATGAGTGTGACCGTGTTCCCAAAAAAACTTTACTTACAAAACCAGACAACGGCAGAATTTGGCCCAAAGGTCACAGTCTGCCAACCCCTGACCTAGAATGATATGATTCATTAAACTTCTCTTGAAACAGAGCAATTGTGTTAAGAACAATTAGACCCTATTTTTATGACTGAACTTTACGAAGAAATAAGTCAGTGAGAGACACAAGTCTGCTTCTGATGTAATGACATCGGGGAATGACCTAGTGAGGCACGAGCTAGCTCCTGGTAGGCAGAGGGAAGCGCAAAGACAAACGAACTCAGCCAAGGATTGAAATTGCTGCCATGACCATCTCAAGAACAGTATAA